GGGTTTAATCAAGGGCAATGTAACAGTGAGGAATTACTAAAGCAAAATGAAGGCCAAACATGATGGTGAGACAAGACAGAAGTAAAAAAGATATAGAGGAAAGAACCAGGAGGCAAAGGACATTTATAGAAGCCTAAATACAGGCATGTACATATGTAAACATATATATAAATATATATAATAAGAGGGGAATAGAACTATGTACTCATATCTATATGTTAAGAATTAAGGTTGCAGATGGGCATTGGGCCTCCACTCAAGTACTTCCTCAACACAAGAACACTTTGTTCTAACAATGCGGCATTCTGTGATGTTCGCCTTCCCAACACAGTCGCTGCAGAAAAAATGGGTGCATAAGCAAATGTGGTGAAGAAAGCTGATGGTGCCGGGCTAACAAAAGATATAGCATAGCATCTGGAGTCTTAAAGGCTTGAAGGTAAACAAACAGCCAACTATCTCAGAAACAACTAAGTCCACATGGAAGAAGCACACCAGCCTGTGTAATCGTGAGGTGTTCCTGGGATCAGGTATCAGGCATCTAAGACCAGGAATAAAACCATACCCAATGTGAATGAGGGGGGCATGGAGTAGAAACCAAAAACCCATCTGTAGACAATTGGACATCCCCTCACAGAGGGATCACAGGGAAGATATGAGCCAGTTAGGGTGCAGTATAGCAGTGGTAAAACACACAATTTTCCTCTAGCTCTTTGGTGCTTCCTTTTTTACCCTATTATCATGACCTCAATTCTACCTTACAAATTGGATTAGATCAGAGCATGCACACTGCTACAGATAAGATCCTGCAACACAGGGAATCCAAAATAGATAACCTCCTCAGGGCCAACGAGGAGAGTAGAGATACCAGGATAAGGATTAGGGGAGGTGCGGGGAGAAAGGGGGGATCGATCACAAGGATCAACCTAGAACCCCTTCCCAGGGGGGAGAATAACAGAAAAGTGGGTGAGGGGTGACAGAGGACGATGTAAGATATGGAAAAAATAATCTATAACTTATCAAGGGTTCGTGAGGGAGGATGGGCGGGGGATGGAGGGGGGAGAAACGGGGAGCAGACATCAGGGGCTCAAGTGGGGAAAGAATGCTTTGAAGATGATGGTGGCAAATGTGCAAATGTGCTTGACACACTGAATGACTGTGTGGATTGTGATGAGATGCAAGAGCCGCCAATAAAAGTACTTTTCAAAAAACAAAAACAATAAAACTCTTCCCTCTACTTCAAATTTCTCACATTAAAGCAAGAAAAATACCATAAATCAAGCATTATTTTCCCAAGATGATCAGTTTTTTGAGAGGAAAAAAAAGTCTATCTGTTCCTACTTATCAGTATATTGTCTGTGTCTATGCTCACAAAAGCACAGTAAAAGATCACCACACTTCATAAATAAGCATGTCTGTTGAGCCAAGTACATTGCTACAAACTCTAGGCATTCCATGTGTCATGGGAAGGCATCTATGTAGAGTGAAAGTAGATGGGGACATGAGGAAAATTTTATTTTCAAAAGAGAATGAAAAGAATAGATGAGATTTGTAGGATATAAATTTTTCATTCTACTTGCCTTTAATAATCTTAGTAGAGATTTACAGCAGGTTATGATCTTATAGCTCAAACTCAATAATGTCTTATTGTTTTTGCTAATACCAGTGGCAATTTTCTAAGCCCATTGTGAGATATTTTAGTGAATAATTCAGCTTATACAATTTTTTTCTAGTTAGCATATTTAAACTTGTAAGCCAATTCACTGTCTTAATTTGAAAGTGTTGTTGAAAGAGAATTTATGGGTGTCAAAAATATACACTCCACATTAACATAAAGCACTATGACAAACACCTGTTTACATGGATCAGCCCTTCAGCTAATAAACCCATAAGGCTGGATTAAATAGTTGAGACTTTCCAATTTTATTTCTTTGCTTGACAACCACAAATGAAAGTATCAAAGCAATCCCAGATGTCTGAGAAATAAGAAGCCAATGTGAATGTCAATATAGGTAAGAAAAGGGCAAATTTTCTCATTTCAAATTTTCCTTAAAATGTCTAATCAAAACTATGTAAATTTTAAAACTCAAGGATTTAAGCTGGATTAACTTTGAGAATTCTATGAAGCATCAGGGACTCCTGTTGAATCCATGTAGAAATCTCCCCCTTCCCAAATTTAAGGTATGCAATCATGAATATCTCCCAAATCCATACAATCTATTAAGTAACTGCTTGTTAGCCATGAATAGAGGTGGCCTACTTTCTCCAGTCTAGGCCACAGAAGCAGTGACTAATGCACTCAGCAAGGTGTTAGTTCTCAAGTACCTCACTTAGTGCCTAGCAAGCAACTTACTGGTGAATCTCATTCAATGTCAAACTTCAAAATGAAAAGGGAAAAATACAATGAATTCCTTCATCCCTTTGTTCTTCTTAGACTTCTAACTTTCTATCTGCAGCTAAGTTTCAACACGTGAAAATAAATCACTAGTAGGCAATTGATATTTATTAATTTGACTCTGCTGAAACTAATAAGAGAAGAAATCTCAATCCTTATTTTAGAAAGAAGTACTAATAGGCTAGAAAATCAGGCTTAAAAAATAAAATCCATTTAAGTTATGCTGCTTCGCTAGAGAGAAGAAAAAAAATGTGTGTGTGTGTGTGTGTGTGTGTGTGCTTATGTAGTCACAATTGATCAAATGATTACCCAAACTACATTAGTGGGGCTACTCTCACCCTAAATTGACAGAAACCACATATTTGAGCATATCATTCGTGTAGTGCTGGTAACATGCAAGTAAACAGCTTACTTCAGTCATGACCATATCCTGACATTTCTTCACATATTTGCCATCTGCTTTGACAATCGTCTGTAAAAACCTCAGGTACTCCACGTGGCGGCCGTGCGTCTCGATGCAGTGCACAAAGTGCTGCACGACCCTCTCGCTGAGCTCATTGCACAGATGGTAATTGTTCAGGAAGATGTGCCTCATGGTTTCCGCTTCTAGAAGCTGAACACAAAGGAGCATGCCCTGGTGATTCCGCACGAGCAATTCTCCATCCCACAGGACTTAGGCTAACTTCCCTGCTTAGGACCAGGAAATAATTTACTCAAAGCCATAGTGAGCTTTCTATGCATGCCTCCTACAAAATTCAATGTCGTCCTTCACTATTAAAGAAAGAAAGAACGAAAAGGGAACTCACAAGGAAAGCCATGCTACGTGTGTTGTCAACAGTGTTCTTGAGATTTATTTAATGACCTGTTTTTCAAAGTTCTTCCTTTGTACCTGAAAGATCACTTTGAAGACATCCTGCCATGAGTCAATTCCGACTCATAGCGACCTTTTAATACAAGGCTTTCCACCCCCATCAAGGGCGACAGTCTCCAGAATTCACAGTGGCAGTTCTACCCTATTCTATAGGGTTACCCTGAGTCCGGTAAGAGTTCATTCTACCTTTTGAGTTTTCAAGATGCATCTTACTCATGGAATTATAGTTAGTTCTACTGTATATTTTCCCACATTAAACGACATGCATATCACAGAAATTGTCATTTACACGTAAAACTCATGTAATTTTTCAAGTTTTCTCAAATGTTTACATAATGTAAATAAAACATAATCCATGTACAAAAACAAAATGAGATATTAAGACTGATAAAAATGTTATTATCAAGGCTACTAGAATAAATTTGATGGACAGTAGACTATAAGCATTCAGTCATTGAAATACTTACACCAGGAGTTAGAAACAAATTCAAATGTTTATGAAGAAGAACTTGATTCTGTGGATTTCCTCGACAGAAATTCTGTAGGAAGGTGTGGGCTAGATTCATTACTTCATTCATCTTTTCATCATTCTGTAAATTAAGAAGTACCACAGAGAAACATTGTAAAAGCAAGCATTGAAAACGATAGCATTTATATTACCCAAAGAATACACTTGTTCCCAGTTGTCGCCATCTCTGAGGCTGTATGCTCCACTTTGTCCATGCCCTCTGTTTCTGTCTCTCGGTTTTCTGGCTCTCTTGCTCACCTTGTACTTATTTCTCTATTGATGCCTGTTCGGCTCCACAGTGCCAATGCTCTCGAAGTCTCAGCTCAGTCCTTCAGATGGTCCACTACTTTCCCACGCTTGTTTATAGCTGCTTCTTTCTCCCCAGCATTTGTTCCCACTTCTGCTCCATCTTCTCGTCTCTCTGTCTCCCTCATTCTGTTCCTCCCCGTTTCTCTGCAACTTCTAACCAATGTGTTTCTCTCTTCCCCAGGGTTTCTATGCAGCGGATTCCAATTTATTTTTTCCTCGGTCTCTCCACTTTCCCCATTCCCTAGATCCCTCTCTTTCTCATCCTTCCCCTCTCACTAGGCTACTAACCACAGGCCAGAACTTCAAAACCACCAGCTGCTCCACAGGAAAAAATTGAGGACTTCCTCTCTGTAAAGCATTACAGTCTTGGAAATGCTCTGGGGCAGCTCGACCTTGTCCTGTAGGTTGCGAGAGGTCAGATTTCACTCGATGGCAATGAGCTTGGTTTGAGGTTTCACTGTGCTCTCAACATCGACTCCTTTCTCTACTCTTGTCCCTTCTACGCTTTTCTCTTCTCCACCCACGTTTCCGTCTCCTGGACCTGGACAATTCTCTTTCTGTGTGTTTCTCACTTTATCTCCAGCCCCTCTCAATATCTCCAGCCTCTCTGCGTGCTATTTAGTTTGTCTCTCATTTCCACTTCTTTCTTTTTCTTTTCCTCTTTGCTTTTCATCTTTTGCTTTAACTCCATTCTCCATCTGCCCCCTTCTTTCTTAGTACATGTCTCCTAGGTAGCTTTCTTTACTCATTGTCATTTTCCAAAGTTCTGTAATCTGCTATTGTTATTTTTTTCACATAAGCTAAAAAGCATTTCAGACTATCAATAGGAAATTTAAGTCTCAAAATTCCCAAATAATGCAAAGCTCTTCTACAAAAGTGGTCATTGCCAATATCACTGAAACCACCTATAGGTTTCTGTGTAATTGAGAGTCCCATTTGCACTGCAGTCATTGGCAAGGAAAAAAAGTGGGGTCATGTTCTGAATTTGAAACAAGTTAATCATAGTAGATGAATTTAGTTTTCTTTTCTTTTCTTGGTCTTACATTGTACAGTTTATGCCATCTTCAATTAAGCAAAGAGCCTAAGGTCATCAATGGACCTATTTTGTCATATTTACAATAAGGATTCTTATCTACACTAATAAATTGTTTTAAAATTCTATTCTAGCTTAAAAACTAAAAGTGAAAAATTATTTCCAAATCCACTAAACCCTTTTATTCACTTGTCTAATGCAGAGATAGGCAAAAGACAAAGTTAATTCAATCACATAAAAAGTATATTCTTGGTGACAATTGGTCAGTTCTACTACATCTGATATTTGTTTGAAATACTCATCTAATTCTGTTTCTATTTTGAAAAATCTAGTTATCAACATTGAGCAAACCTATAAAAAGCAAACTTATTAGAAAAGCAGCAGAACAGCAATGAAAGAATTGACTGCATGACCCAATACTCATATTAAGATAGCAGTGGTAAAACTGTTTGGGTCATAAATTTTTTAAAACCAAACTTTGTTGTCAATTCAATCCACACAGTGACAATGCTATGTGTTACACAACAGTATTGCCCCATGAGGCTTTAGGAGCTGAGGTCTTTGTGGAAGGAGATCACAGGCCTTTTTTCCATGTACCCTGCCTGGATTCAAACCATCAACCTTTCAGTCCAAAGTCAAGAACAAATGATTTTCACCACCCATAGACCTTATGGATATACATATTTTAAAGGAGCTCAGTTGATCCCTGGATTGCACAAACAGTTAAGTGCTCAACAACCAGCTGAAAGGTTGGTGGTTCTCACCCAGCCAGAGGCTCCTCAGAAGACAGGCTTGGAGATCGATTTCCTAAAGATGACAGCTTTAAAAACTCCACAGAGCATTAGTACTCTGCACACACAGTTCCATGACACAGGATCAACTCACAGCAACTAACAACCCGTTGACGGTAGTTCAGTACAGGGAGAAAAAGTCCATGTGAGCAGAGACGTTGACACGCATGCTGGAGCACAGGAGAGATGACGGGAACATTTACACCAGGGGGTGTCAGTGCCTGAACGGAATGCGGAGGTCACTGGCAGGGAGCACTGGGCAGTAGTAGTGATGGAAAATAGTAACCCAAAGGGCAGCGGTCAAATCATTAAGTATAATGAAGATAGTGAGGGGGCAGGCCTCGCACTGTCAGAGAATGGAGGTACCATACAGAAAAGGAGAAGCTAAAGTAAGCTCTGTAGTGTTGGAATTTGAAGCATCAGAATGAACTCACAGTGCTCAATGACACAGATATGAAAGGCAGTGTAAGTTAAGTGTTTCTGTGTGCTTATGTGCATACATACATGTTACCTAGCTCTGTCCATTTAAAGGGCATGAAAGTAGCAATATCCCAATAGCAAAAATCACACATACTGCTCAGAACTTTGCTTCTAAGTACCGTTTCCACCAGAAACAACTGAAACCCCTTAAAGATATTGCTGCCGTCAGCAGCAGGGACAACACATGATGAACGTGGAGTGTTTTCTTGTGGCAGAAAGCCAGGAGGTTCTCAAAGAATGACAGGGATATGGCGCCACTGGCCAAATGCAAGCATCAAAATAAATCATGACAGCAATTGATCATCAATTGTTGTTAAAATGATAAGGCACAACTCCACAATGCTAAAAATAATGAATTAATAGAAATTTTGCCATGGCAATATTTGATTAATTTCAAAGTACCCCTCCAAAAACCACTTAGAAATTACACAGAGAAAATAAGTAATTCCATCATGGAGAAGTCTGGTAGATACCACATCAACTGACTGATTCAAGTTAATCAGTTAAGGATTGAGTTGTGCCCCCCAAAACACATGTTCTAACTCCAAATCCCTAGAAGGGTGGTTATAAGTCCATTTAGGAATAGATTTTTCTTTGTTAAGAGGCAACACCAATAGAAGGAGTGGTTTAAGCCAGGCGTCCTCAAACTTTAAGCAATCAGGTTTGAGATATACAAAGAACAGATTAGACCCAGAGAAGCAAGCAAAGGTGGGAGATAATAGATGCTAAGCCATGTGAAGATGGCCCCGAACCAAAACTCAGAACAAACAAGACCCTTCCTCCAGAGACAACAACGAAGCCAGGCCCAGAGCAGTCGCCCTGAATTCAGACTTCTAGCTGCCTGGACGGTGAGCAAAGTATAAGTTCTGTTTGTTAGCGCTACCCGCGCGGTGGCATTTCGGTCATAGCAGCAGGAGATAAGGAAGACCCTCCGTCATGGGCCACGTGGGAGAGCTTAGAATCACTTCCACTCCTGTCCAAAATGCATCACTGAATTTAATCACAAGGAAGCATCAGATGATCCAAATTGAGAGACAGTCTTCAACCTAACTGAGTTAGCCAGCAAGTCTCAGTGTCAGGAGAGATTCAGAGCAAAGACATTTAAACAGACGTGGCACCAAGCCAGAGCAAAGGACTCTTCCCATCCTGCAAGGCTCCGTTGGCACAGCAGGAGATCTGTCAATGGAGCCTGAGGGTGAATGGCAGGAAAGTATACTTCTTCCTGACCAGGAAGGCTACAGTGTTTATGTAGAACTGTGTCCTTGCTGAAGAAAATACATACACACCAAAAGGGCCAAGGGTGTGACATTAGGTTGGCTACTTTTTCTCAAAAAAAAAAAAAAAAATCAAACCAATTGTGGTGATCTGATGCCAGCTCCAAGCATCCCGCGGGCAGGGTGGCACTTCCCCGCGAGGGTTCCAGACTGTAGCCGTTGATGAGCAAGCGGCTGGCACTTTCCAACTGTGACCCTTGGGACTCACAGCCCAGCCCGGAGCCAGTATGCCAACGGGTCCGGAAGGAAAGCTTTGTAGGACGTTCTGGACATTTGACATGATACCGAAATAAAAGGCGGCAGAAGACAGGAACTGAGAACGCACCTTTTCATAGGGTACCTGCAAAAGGTCCAGCACCACCGAGTGAGCGCCCATGTTCTTCAGTAAGCGCTGGTGCTGACTCCGGCACTTCTTATTCTGGACACAGAGTTTACTCAGCCGGATCAAAATCTTACAGAGAGGGGGGGAAATTAGTGGGTAGGGCAGGTAAAAATGTGTATATATATCAATGCAATATGCACATGAAAATTATTGTCACACAAATAAAAACCCATGTAAAAATATGTTATATCAGCTGACCTCTTTAACAATTCGGTAGTTGTTGCTCTTATTGCTGTCAATCTGGGGTTTTTTTGTTCCATCTTGCACTGGACTTAAAATGTTGGATTCCTAAAAAAAACACAAACAGGTCTTTTTAGAACACTTGTACAGATTTGCAATAATTCAGCATAAATGTTTCTTTGTACTTCGCTTACCATTAAAAAGTACCTTGGCTGCGCCCACCAAATTACCATTGTTGTGTTGTTGCTGTAGCACTGCAGGGTTGATAATCGGCTTATAGAAACCCTAGAAACTCAAACCACCTCCTTGCCATTGAGTTGAGGCTGATTCACTGGGACCCTAAAGAGCAGGGTAGAACTTCCTCCTGTGAGTTTTCGAGACTCTCTACAGGAGTAGAAAGCCTCATCTTTCTCCTAAGGAGCCGCTAGTGGTTTCAAACTGTTAACATTGCAGTTAGCAGCCCCACACGTAACCCCTAGGCCACCAGGCTCAGAATGGGTTAACATGGTCTCATATAGCTCTCTTCACGTTAATCATTACAGGCGTACAGCACCACACGCTCCTTTTCTTTTCTCTCTCTGCCGTGGCTGATGGGTTCAAACCACTAGCCTTTAGGTCAGAAGCCAAGTGCTTAATCATTGTGCCACCAGGGATCCTTGCAAATTACCACTAGCTAATAAGAATTTACATGAGGAATGACTTTACTAATAATAAATGACCTGAATTTAAAAGAAATTATTACACAGAACACTATCATTGCATTTCTTTATACTATCTACATCAAATAGACCATAGATTTCTATTTTCTACATAGGAAGGGAGAATAAGAATACAAGGTACGAAAGGTGAAATTTTATCATAAGGGATGAAATGTAAGGGAAACAAACCTGGGTGAAACCGCATATAACAGCTGAACCTATTTCAAGGAAAGGAAGAAGGGATACCCTAACCCAAGGCTGCTCGTTGGGTGACCATGACAGCCTAAAATGTCACAACTTGGGGCCCTCTCAGCATGTACAAAGCTGAGAAAATGGAAAAATATAAAAACAAAACTTAAATAAAAATAACCCTTTTGAAACAAAGTATGTGTGAATTGTTGAATAGAAAACATTTGTGCTGAAAGCCTTTACACAATTCAAAATTTGTTAAAAATCATAATAATCCCTTTAAATTATTGAATTATTTAATAAAGCTTAGTAAGATTACCTGAGACGTTTTATTTAATTTAACAGTAACAATCATATTCTATAGCAGCATCAAAAACATACATAAAAAGGTTATATAGATTTAAATATCTACTATGGAGTCAGCATGTGAAAATAAAACATCAACAAGAAATAACTGAATACATGAACATTTATGAAAAGGTAGTGCCTGCCTGGCAGTAGTCTATAAGGAATGGATCTTAAAAGAAATAAAAGATATGTTCCTTCCCACCAGAAAAGTGCGGTCTATTTAAGAAAATGGTTAAAAACAAAAATAAGGATGGAAATTGAGCAGCGGTCACTATTCAGAGACAGGGAGCAGCTGAAGCTATAAATGGCATTATGAAGAAGGTCAAGTTGAAGTCAAGGTCTTAAAAGATAAAAACTAGCTAAGCATAAGGAAGGGATGGATGGACAAGGGAAAAGACTGGTAAGGTCAAGACGTCACTGTAGCCAAGGTTCCCGCAGCAAAAACAAATAAATACATTAAAATAAGCACGAAACAGGAGGAACAGATAGTGTATGTTGCAAGGGAGTGGGAAATAGGGGAGGGAGAGGCCTGATTACGTCCCTGGTTTAAAATATGTACAAATTGAATTTGGGATGAATGACATCCTAAATTCCTGACTAGATCAGTGTTGGGCTTTCCGAGATAGGGAGTACCCCAGGCTTAGCTCAGGAATTTAAAAGATGCAGGAATCCAATCAAGATAGTTTCATTTGTCTAAGTTATATTCCCTATTGTGCTCCAGGCCAAATCACAAAAGTAAGGCAATCCACGTGGGGTGGGGAGAAAAAGAACATATGCTCTTCTAGCTGGCCAGACAATTCTGATGAAAGATCCCAAAGCCAAGGGGTGGACTGCAGCACTCCTGAGCATTTGAGCATCATGACTCGTCTACAAACTGCATTTCTCTTTGCTGCTGTCTGCAGCCTGAAGCTCTCGGTCTGAAGGTCATTTTAGCAGGTCCCTCCTCTCACATCTTACTAAGCTAAAGAAATCTCTCCACAAGATGCTAGCATTTCCTCTTCTAAAAACACCCAGCATCACACGCACAGGTCTGCATCCTCACTCTTGCCTCAGAGGGAAAAAATTGGTTTTTCTCTTTCTAAAGTAAAATTGTGATAGAAGTGATTGTACTGGTGTATATACAACTCTTTTCAAAAGTGATTTGAATGTGGAATGTATGCTTGGTGAAAACTATGTCAAGAAAACTACTAAAAAAAGAAAGAAAGAAAGCAAACTTGGCTAAATGGTCACCATGGGCGAAGGAGGGAGAGTTGTTGCTTAGGGGCACTGAGTTTATGTTAATGGTGGGGAGATGATTTAGAAAAGGACATCAGTAATGGTTGTACAACACAAAGAATATCATCAATGGTACTGAATTATATATGTAGAAGTTGTTGAATTGGAAAATGTTTTGCTGTGTATATTTTTGCCACAATTTTTAAAAATTGCATGAATAACAATGAGTACAAGAAGAAGAAAATGTTCGAGAATTGATTGTGGTGATAATTGTACAACTCTTCTTGATATGAGAGAATTATTGAATTGTATGATAAGTGGATAAAGTCCAATAAAACTGTTTAAACAAAAAGTCTTGGGAGTTCCAGCACCCTCTATCCAAACAATAAGTCTGATTTCTTTAATGATTTTGAATGCGTTCCACATTTTCCTCCCATTTTATTCAGGACCTTCTAATGTGATCCCTTTCAGAGCAGCTGCTGCGATATTTCATTAAACATATTTGC